AAGTAATTTCTATTAATTAAATAAAACTATTTATAAAGTTATATAATTAGTGATTATAAAATCAGCAATGTTAATAATATATTAATTAATTATCAGTATAACATTAAAATCGGGTCTGTTGGAAATTGAATCGAATTAAATATGAATATTAAATAATTATTATTAACATTGTTATTAAGTATCATTAATGACTTAAACTCGTTTTAGTTTAATACCTAACTGATTTAATTAATGTTAATCATTAATTACAACAACAATTGGTTTAAACTTGGGTCATTTGGAAACTGGGTTGACTTATATACATATTACCGGTTAAACCAAACCTATGAGATAATAAGTAAAACGTGGATGCGAATTCTATTCAGACCCGACCCACTCGATCCATATTGCATCACCTTCTTAAGCCGACTTGTAACTCGACAGAGCGACGACGACAAACGTATAGTGGCTGTCGAGAGGTAAAAGAAGGGTGGTTTATCATTCATTTCAACCAAAAAAAAATGTTTTAGATATTCAAAATAGCATAAGAGAATAAGAATGGAAGAAGGAAAAATCAAAACAAAAAAAGAAAACGTAGTTCAGTTGTGATCTTAGCTGCCGGTGAATATAGTTGAGTGACGTTTAATGGAAGCCACTATAATGAACCTCCTGGCCACTGGCGGCTAGGCATAAATGATCGCTGGTTATCGGGTGAATACACAATCGTTTCTGACTTAGTCGACCCATCGTCTTCTCAGGCACTAGTTCCTACTGCATTTAAAAAATGGCGTCTATCCTACGAACCTCCTGGCCACTGTCGATTGGGCATGGTTGGTAGACCTATTCATGGGCCGAGCAGCACGACGGGCTGGCCCGGCCCGGCCCAATCTAAGTCAGGCTTGGACAAGATTTCAGGTTTATGGACTCGGGCTCTGGCTTTCTTGAGAAAGCCTGGCCCGATTCCAAGCCCGACTTGATAATGTATTATATTAATAAAATATATTTTATATAATAAAAAAACATATATATAATATATTTTATTCTCTTTTTTTTTCAAGTAATAATGAGACTTTTCATTATTATTTTAGGTTTTGAGGTCTTTTAATATAAATAAAACAGCTTTTAATTGAATTAAAAAGGAAAAAAAATATTTTTTTCCAAATTTCTAGCCGGGCTCAGGTTCGGGCCTGGGCTTCAGGCTTTATATGAGGGCTAGGCTTAGGCTCAAGACCTATGGCCAGGCTCGGGCTCATGCCTAAGCATATTCTGTAGTGGCAAAGTCCATCCCAAACGCAACTCGACCCAACCCATGAATAAGTCTAATGGTCGGCGATCATTTCTAAACATTGTAAAACTTATAATACTAATTTAAAACAGTAACGGAGGAGCAACAATGAACTTCTAAGTGAAAGGCTAAAACTTACTCATGCAAGAAATTAACTTCGTATTCAACAGAATATGAAACACGAAACAACTAAAAAATAGAGCATATAAATATACTAACGGGATTGAATTACCACTTCTCTGAAGTTGTAGTCTAATCGGATTGAATTACTACTTCTTTGAAGTTGTGGTTTGAGGAACTCAATTATTTGTTTTTTCTAAAATTCCAGTTTTAGGCAGATTGAACTCAATACAGAAGTGCATAGTTGAAGTTCGAATTATAGGATTGAAACCTGACCTAGTAACCTATTAACTTCTCTTCCTACAATTTAGGTGTGTGGCCTTCCAACCGATTATATACTACAATGGAATGAGAGGTGTGTGACCTACTAATTGACTAAACTCTCTCTACATGCAGTATTGTATGGTCAGTGTGTGGATAGGGAATTGAATAAACTCAAATGAGATTTCATTCCCGAGAGAGGGGGAGGGAATTGGCATTCCACCAGGAATGGAAGTGGGATTCCAATTCCACCCAACCAATCTGATTCCAGATCCCTATTCCCATCAACCAAATGCACCTTTAATTAGGTGTATTCTCAAGTCTGGACTAGTGTAGAATGGATGGCTAAGGCGGTGTTTGGCATCGATACCGTTGCCCCAGAAAATGATGCCATATTGGTGCCACATCAAAAAATGCGGTGCTTCAGAAAATGACCTCATGTTTGTTTCTGTTTTTTTCAAAAAAAGCATTGTCCTAGACCATGCCTTGGAAATCGGGGAGTCTTGGTCTGAGTAAACCTTGAATTCAACGTTTTCTCATGTTCCAGCCCATTGCTGCCATTGGTACAATGATGCGGCACCAATGTGGCATCATCTCAAGTGTTGCATAATGTAGACTAGTGCTGAAAACAGTTATACAACACTGCTACCAAACAAAAGCAGTGTTGTTTTCCTAGAAAACATCTATGTGGCAACATCGATGCCAAACAAAAAAAATGAGCCATTTTCTGAGAGAACGATGCAACTGACCCTCATCCATACAGCACCGTTTTCTCAGAAAATGGCTCTGAAACAACGACTACGATGCCAAACACCTACTAAATTATCACATATAAATTTTGAATGAAATAACCTAGGATCAACCTTACTAGTTGACATGCTTCATGTTTTATGAATTTGGAATGTACAATAGATGCAGTATTCTCTCTACTTTCTTTATGTAGAGCTCGATTTACTTTCTTTATTCAGAGCTCGATGGAAAGCTCTTGTTTCTTGGTTGTGGGGTGAATAAGAGGGGCCAACATGTTTATTTTATATTCTTACATCATAACCCATCAACGAATGTGAGAGTTTTTATAATAACTAGCGGGGACCATGCATTGCAATGCACGGGCTCTGTTAAAAGAATTTAAAGCAAAAGGAGATAGGGGTGCAACTTAAGTGAGGCATACCCAACTCAATCAAAGCTTTTGCATAGGTTGGGTTTGAGTTTTCAAACTTCAAGTTGGTCTTGGTAAAAAAACTTAAGCCTAACCTAAACTCAGGTTGGGCTTGAATTGAGGCCTTAGGTCGCTTAACCTGACTCGACCCAATTTGAGCCCACCCAACATTTTATGGTATACATATATGCATCTCATCAATCTATTCTACCTAAAAATTGGGCTACACATGCCCAAGCCCAAGCCCAACCCAAGATTCGGGTTAATCTCAAGTTAGGCCTGGGTTGGTACACTTAAGCTTAACCTTGAGTTGGGCCAAGCCTAAGCTCGAGGTTTGAGACTTAGGGTTGGGCTTGGGTTGGCCCTCAACCCAACCCAACTCACCCAAGTTGCACCCCAAGAATTAGCATTGTGACTTTCCTAATTGTATTAGTTTTTATTTTTTTATTAAATTGTTTTGACTTTTACTAAATTTTTATTTAGTGGATTAGGGGATTTTAAATTAATAATACTTAAGTTTAAGACTAATAATTTCGTTAGTTTTTTAATTCTAATAACAAAATTTTTAGGGTCATTTTATTTTTTTAAATGAAATCTAAATAGATATCAAAATGTAAAATTTAATTTTGAAACTAATTTTTTCTTACTTTTTTGTTGTTTTACTAATAAACATGTATTAATTTGTATTAACTTTATTTTTAAATAAAACTTTATTAATAAAATTATATTCAAATAATTTTTAATAATTTATATTATTGTTATCTATATTTTTATTACATTATTAACATAATTAGTTAACTAATTTATTATGTTATTAATTAATTGGTTAACTAATTAGATAATCTTTAGTAATTAAGTTATAATTAGTTAACTAATTATGTAATTATCTTATTATTTAGTTAATCTTTTTAATTATATAATCATTTTCTAAGTGAAATAAAATTGTTAAGTTAATTAATGTAATTAAGAAAGTAATAACTAATTAATTAACCTTAGTTCTTTAATTTAATTTAATTAAGGTTTATTGATTCTCAGGGTCATTCCATTAATTTTATTTTTTTTACATTTTATTAATTATATTTGAAATTCTAAATTTAAAATTATTAGCTTTAATGTTTTTTAAGAGAGACAAGTTTTATTACTTTTATTATAATTATTCACTTTTGTTTTTATATTTGGTATTTTTTGTACTTAATTGTAATTTTTACTTTTTATTATTTTTTCATTTTTAATTATTCTGTGGTTACAATTTATTGAGAATAAACATTAAAACCAAAAAATTACTAACTTGTATTATTTTATCATTTTTTGTTAATTTTACCAAGAAGCAAGTTAACTTTTAATATTAGTTTTGTAGTGGAAATTTTAATTAAGTAAACTGGTTTTATAATTTAATTAGATTATATTATGTTCAATTAAAATGTAATATAATTGAGTTATTGATGGAACACCTATCCATTTATTGAAAACCAAATAATCCAGATTCAACATGCCTTCGATCTTACAAAAATGAAATAATTATCATAAGAATTGCCTTGCCATGATGTGGGTAAAGAAGTTAGGAGAGGATAATGATATAGGTTAAGGATGCGGTTGGGAATGATAAATGTGTGTGTGTGAGAGAGAAAGAGAGTATTGCATGTGGCTCGATAGGAGGTCTAGTCCAATTGGAGGGCACATCCGACAAACCCAGGTTTAAACTTAACCCCTGGCCCAACCTTAAGAATTGGGCATATATGCATATATGTGAGTTTGGGCTTGACTTGGAATGAGGTAGGGTGAGATTCAGATTATCTAAACCCGAAAAATTAAAAGCCCAGTCTTTTAGACCCAAACCCAGTCTGAAGCCCTAAAATCCAAAACCTAACCATATAAAATTGCAGGGCTGGGTTGAACCCGCCCAATGTTTTGGACCCAAATCCAGTCCATAAAATAACAATTACGGTCAAACTTGTGTAAAGAATGGATGGGTCGTTAAGGTTTGGTGAGGCGAAGCTTCTTAATTGACCCACCCATTATTGAATTATCGTAGGTTTGCAGTAAAATTTAAAAAAAATATTGTGGGGTATAGTGTTCGCTCTCAATTTCAGATATGCAAATAGTTTAAAATTCAAACATCAAAATATGAACGGTTCCTTTGTTTTTTGTTTGGCATCGATTCTGCCAATCAAACAGACTATTCATACCATTCTTGAACATTGAATGGCGTCTCCGACGATTCACTGTTTGTTGAAAAAAATGCTAGCGACCAACGAAAGGGTAGATCATTGGAATATTTTAAAGGTTAAACAAATAGGAAGCATCGTGTTCGTGTATATGCATGTTTTATTGGAAGGTCGGAAGATTTTGCGAGAAGGTGGTGGACCTGGTGGCGATGGAAATGGACGTCGTCGTCGTTTATCTTTATCACGCTCCAGAGTCCTACCCCCAATTGTTTGCTTTTCGAATTATACACTTCGCGGACAAAGTAATCTTTTCCTTCGACGCCACGCGAAATGGTGTGCGAAGATACCTTACTTCCTTGTTGGTTCAACCCAACTCCTTTCTAGAATTTTAGCTCTTTGTTTTGTTGGTATTTTTGACAAAGGTTTGTGTTTGACTGTTTGTTTTCACGTTCAACAGGTCAAAAAACCCCCCTCGTTATTTGCAATTTTCACATCATCGGCCGCCTGCTCCCGCTTCTTATTTTTTTCTCTCTCTTCTGGTAAAATTTGACGTTTTCGTTCGGTTAGCTCAGCTGACTTTGGATCAGAGCCATTCACTCTCGCAAAACCGTCGAGACGACAGTCTAGAGAGGGGAGAAGTGAATTAAAAAAAAAACAAGAAAAGAAAAACGTTGCTGAATGCCTTGGAACGTCAACGATCGCCTCGTCAATAGATCAATTTGTTCAAACTCCTATTATATATTATGTCGCAAGAAGCTCCGAAGTGTTCCTTTTGCCGCGAAGATGGCGAAAATACTTTCAGACCCAAATCGACGCTTCCTTTTCTATACCATTTGCTTCTGCTTCTTCACCACAGGAGTGCTAACCTTGAGTGTACACAAATCTTCCCCTCCCTGCAACTACTCCGATTCAGGTCCCGTTAAACCCTCAATCCCTTTGATTTCCTTCCTCGAACGCGTACAGGAGACTGCTCTCCGTTCTTTGGGCGACTCCAACTTCGATCCAAAGCTTTACGTCGATTTGTCTTTAAAGTTCAACCTTTCAACCACGGAGGAGGCTTTTGATAAGCTACCCAGGTCAGCAAACGGTTCCGTTTCCGCTCGGGATCTGCAGAGCTTCATAGCCTCCTATCTGGGTGATGCAGGCAGTGACATGGTGATCATCCAACCCGTCGATTTCATGCCAGAGCCGCCTGGCTTCTTGCCCAAGGTTGAGAACCCCGTTGTGAGGGCATGGGCATTAGAGGTGCATTCTCTGTGGAAGAATCTGAGCCGGAAGGTCGCCGATGGCGTGAAAGAGAGCCCAGAATTACATACTCTTTTGCCTCTTCCATCGCCGTTCATCATTCCCGGATCTCGATTCCGAGAGGTTTATTATTGGGATTCTTACTGGGTTATTAGGTTCGTTGCCCTTCTCCGTCAGCATCTCTTTTATTTATTATTTTGTTCTCTGGCTCCAAGCAAAGTCATTTTGGATATCCTGAAAATTTATACAGACTACACCACATATATCCTTAGACTTCGCAACTGAATGTTGTAATCTCATTTGTTTGGCTTCAGGCTCTAGATTACCCCCAATCCTTTTTATTGGTTCATGGTCATATTGGTTACTTAAAGTTTGCTGGGAATATTAAGACCATGAACCACAAATGCTCTCTGGGACCATGTGGTTGGGTGGGATAATGTTCTCAAGCATCAAAATTACACATTGGAAATACCGCACTCAGACCTTGTATTGCTTCACGTCTCTTTGCCTACACTTGTTGCATAAGTTGTCTTGAAAAACTTCTGAATTACTTTAACAACACCAAACATGCTTCTAGCTGGTGATGTCATGGAGCCTTCAAAGCTGAAACAGGTTCCGGCTCCTCTGTATTCTGAAATCCATGGCATCAATTACTTCTAGTGGCACCCTTAATGTAATGCTTTTCTACATAAAATTGGAACATATTACACCCTTAAAAGGACTTGTTAAAGTATTATTGTGGCAATTTTTACCTCTACATCATCTTCCCTCTTCTTCTTGGAAGATTGATAAATGATTAGGGCAGCCCACCTGCAACCAAAGAGGGAAAGAAAACAATCCCAAACACTAGACAGAAATCTACAGGAAATTAGTAAGTGATAAGCAAGACTGTTAGGATCAAATGATCACTTCAACTTGAAGTTTGTGGGAGAGAGAGAGAGAGAGAGAGAGAGAGGCCGTTGTTAGGGAGACGCATTACCTCCTTGGCTGAAAAAGGGCTGAAAAAGGGAAGAATTGAAGATGGGAGAATTTGTGGAGGTAGGCCATTGGAAAAAAGCTTTGAAGATTGAAACTAAGGAGCTCCTATTTGAGGAACTGAGATTAAATGTCAGCTGAGCTTGAAAATCAGGGAAGCAAAGAGAGGGATGGTGTTGTTAGAAGGTTTGGGGGTAATTGAAGGGTTCAAGGAGTTTGTGGAAGGTGCAAAGGCAAACAAAATAGTTGGAAAGAGTTTCTCTCAGAAACTGGAAGAATGTCTGTTGTAGAGTGTAAGAGAAACCTTAAAGGTTATTTTATTTCCTTGACAGAATTTTTTGGCAAGGGTAGAGAGCAGATGGTCTGCTTCCCAGAAGGAAGGAAGAGTCAGGGCTGGAAGGCAGTTCATGGCGCCTTATGTGAACTGCTGCAATGCTTGGGTGCTAGAAGAGAAGTAACAGTTAAAAAAGGAAGATAAGCAGTTCTAATAGTTTGGTGAGCAATAATAAGCAAGAGACTCTTTTAGTGATAGCTGGGGCAGGTAAATACAGAATGGGAGTAAAACATACAGAGAGGTGACTGGGAAAGTAAACTGATAGTTAAAGTTTCAGCTCACATTCTAGACTGGAGGAAAGTTGCAGATCTGTTAACARCAAGTTTAAAGTTGAAGARCACRTTTATTTTAACACCTTTTGAGAAGGACAAGGCTTTGCTGGATCTGCTTGAGAATAGAGTAGAAGTTGAGGCATTAAATATCCAAGCTAAACTTGGAAATTTCACAGTTTCAAGATGGTGTCCGGGATCAAACTCCAAAGATTTCTTTGTTGAAGAT